AAAAATTGAGTAGATAAGCAACTTTTTTCACTGCAATATCTTTACAACTGGGACATTTTGAAAAATAAAATTCTTATATACACTTGAAGAAGCCTTGCCTAATTCCAGCACATAATTAACAAAGAATCATTACATTAATTACAGCTGGCCATGATCATGGTGACATAAATTATAAAACTTTCTTTCTTTCGGCGGGTAATAATAGTTGTCTCAAATTGTTATACACAAAAAAGTACATGTCATAAAAAGGAGTACTCAGACTTAAAGTGAAAATTTTCATTTCCATGGTATATTAATGGCTCATGAAAACTTAAAATAATCCCTCACCACTTTCATGACGGTAAGTGAAACAACACTAGTAACACCATGAAATTGTCCTTAAAATCACATGACACTATCTATGAGCAAAAAACACATGAATGAAATCTAGACAGAGCTGTCATTAAGAGCTGTGGCCCGGGGACTTCCCCGGCTAGTTGCATAGGAAAACAGAAGAAAATAGAACCAAAATAAATCCCTAGCTGTTTGATTCCCCGCCTACTTGTTGTATTTACCCGGCAATGTGAAATCTTAGTGACATCCGTGCTGCTTACATGTTAAAACAACACATAAATATAGTGCATTAAGTAACCTATAGCTTAAGTCATGATTGAAGAAAATATAAAACATACCCTGTTAGGAAAATCTCTAGACATTGTTTGTTTATAATCCAAATGACAAGATCAGCTGAAATATTCTCCTTTTTCAAAATTACTTTACTCAGCATACACAACACCACATACATTTAACATCTGGATTTTTAGTTTTTTTGTTGGAAATACTTTTAAAATTGTAATAATTATGATATTACATGACATAGTGGCCAGTTCTTTCCAATTTCTGCTTATTAACGTATACCAAGTACAGTGAGGGTAAAAGGCGGAATGAGTTTGCAGAATGGCATATGGCATGGCTTGCAGAATGACATAATTATGCGGAATGTAAAATATGGAAAATGGCGCAAAGAAATAAATTAAACTAAAAAACATGCACGTGTCTTTGCCGCGCCTTTTTTGGCGCCAATTTGAGTGAGCAACTTTTTTGCTGGTCCATTTATTACTGCTTGCTTTAACCAACAAGGCAGAGCAGAAAGTAGCGATAAGCATTACTGCATTCGTGTCTATGTAATACTATTTAATACTTAATTTATTTTTGTTGCTTTCGACAATACTTTCTCTCTTTCTGCCCACCATTGTAATCAAGTCAAATGTCAAAACGCTAGAGGGAAAAAAATGCTTGTTGAACGTGAAGTTGAGCTAGCTACAATTCTAGAGATTATTAATAAATAAGGTGGACGGATCGGATCATTTTTGAGACTAAATGAACGCCCCGAGTCAAACATTAATCTGTAATCCAGAAATCAAGTGAAGCGAACTGCTCTCTGTCTCCTTTCGGCCTTTCCACGTGTCTTCATACCTTCCTTGCTTGTGTGAGTGTGTGCATTTGATCGTGAAAAAATGCTACAGCTGTAGGATGGGGAAAAAAAGAAAAAAAGACGCACACTCAATTGCCAGGATTCGGACTCGCCCTTCTCCGCCAGCTGTTAGCTTCGCGTGTAAAGGAACACGTAACCCACCGTTTGAAAAAGAAACACTTCTCACGCGGTTGCAAATACAAATATGGGTAAAAAGCAACTGTAAAGTTAATCGTGCAAACATTTTTGCAGAAAAAAATAAAGTAGAAGGGAGCGTGACCTTCCAAAACATCTTTTCTTCAATTATGGCCGACTTTCGTGTTGTAGTATCGGTGCTGCCATGCAGCCCGACTAATAAAGGCAAGAAGAATCTTTGTGGCTGTGCGGAAAAGGCTAATCGACAATGAGCCTTCGTGGCTTTTTGACTGTCATCATATGTCAATATTAAAACAGCGGCTGCGTTTGCAGATTGATAGGCGCCAGGGCGCACTTTTCAGTTCAATTTATTTCTTTGGGTCATTCTGCATATATTACATTCCACATAATTATGTCATTCCGCAAGCCATGCCACATGCCATTCTGCAAACTCATTCCTCCTTTTACCCTCACCGTACCAAGTAACATAAAAGCAATTTAGCACTCAATTTTCGTGAAAAGACAAAGAAAATAAACATCTTCGAATAATGCAATCATTTATATATATATATATATATATATATATATATATATATATATATATATATATATATATATATATATATATATATATATATATATATAAAAGATATATGTGTGTGTCTTTCAAAGTCGCCGAACACCTTTCTGCAGTGTAAGTCCACATATCAGGCTTAAAGTACTTATATATATATATATATATATATATATATATATATATATATATATATATATATATATATATATATATATATATATATATATATATAAAAGCTAGATGACTGTTTCTTTCAAAGTCGCCGAACAGCCTTCTGAACTGAAGGTCCACACATCAGGCTTAAAGTACTACTGCTCTGGTTTTTTTACCTTAATTGCAGCGATGTACCTTACAATTATTATGAATCGAAGTTTAAATAAACAAATCTACAGACTGTATTTTAATTTTATATGTAAGTTCAACTTTCAAGTCTTTATAACTGGAAACTATGCTTCTAACTTGTGGCAGACATTGCATGCATGCACATCGGAAACTATGCTATGTCTTCTGCAATAATTTAGCTGAGTTAACTGACTTGGATTTTACTTTATGTCAACACAAACTTCGCAATTGATCTCTTTGTCTCGAAAATAACATGGATAATAGAAAGACAATCTTACGAAAAACTCTGTCGCTTGTGAAGTCTGCGTGAATTTGAACTACTCAACGGAAGTTCATTTCACACTTGTCTATTAGTTCAAAAGCCGCACGTGACAAAGTAAATCAAATCGCGCATGTGCGAAAGTCACGTGGAAGCCTGGGAACAACAAACATGGCGGCTAATCGAGAACGTGCTTCGGCGTTTGGGTCGAAAGAGCGGTTATTTTCAGCGTTGATTCAAATATTCCAACGCATTTGAAGTGTTAAATGCAAGAGGTAAACTTAACATTGTTTTTTTTAAGTTGTGAAAGAAAATGTAGGACTACATTATAAATCAAAGTTGCGACGAAAAACGTGTTGTGGACGTTGTTCATGTTGGACAAGCTCAAGGGTACGGAAAATTGATTGAACTGAGGACACCTTGAACACACCAACACTACGCTATTGCTTAGACATGAAATCTGAGTACAACTCAGGCATGATAGAATGAGAAGGACTTAAATCATTTACATAGCTTTTTTATCAATATAAATACTGTGTACATCTATCAATAATCCTGCACCGGTTTAGTCTGGTGTCAAATTTAGGAACCATTGTATTCATGTTAAGTATGATGTTATAATGTTGAAGTTGCTACATTGATAACTGGCTTAATTGAGCCCCGAGAGTTTTGTTAAGGTGATCACTGGTCACTATTTCAGACACTGGTACTGACTTTATTCTAGTCAATGCCTGTAACCAAGAGGCTTCGTTGGTCTGTGAAGCTCATATATGATTACGATGGCTGGAATACCCGAAACTCACATACCTCTACGGATTTTGGGATTTCTGCTGACGTCAGCATTTTTGGTAACCGGTTTGGACTGGTTTACGCTGGTTATTTTCGCTAATTAATTGGGCAAACTGATCTTGGCTTAAAGACAAGGCTCCTCTATATAGTAATGAGTATGAGCGAGCCACTAGAGTACTTATGTGATGTTCTTATTTGGCAAAATAATTCTATCTGTAAATCAGTATCTAAAGAGAAATTCAATGAAATGGAACTATATAAATATTTTAAGGAAACGGCACGAGAAATTAAATTATTTAAGAAAACTTTGTCACATGGCAGTTTGCCTGCCGAGCCACATGACAGTTTGCCTGTCGAGCCACGTGACAGTTTGCCTGTCGAGCCAAGGACCCAGGAGGAGTATGAGCAGCAATACGAGGATGAGGAATATGATAAATTAATTATGCGAGTCGAAAAAATTAAGCAAAAACGGCAACAAGAAATCGAGAGTGATAAAAAATGGAGCAAAATGAATGATGAAAATGAAGAAATAATTAGCAGACTGAACCGGTAAAAACCAGTTGAGCCGGTTGTGGAACCAGATCCGGATATAGAATATATGGAAAACATGGAGGAATTGGAGCGGGAGCGTGATGAATATTTTGAGGAAAAGGATTATTTTGATAGAATGGATGAATTGGAGCAAGTGCGTAAAGAATTTTTTGAGGAAAAGGATAGGCGGTAACGGGTTAAATATTTTGATAAGCGCGCAAAAATCAAAAAACGGCGAAATAAATAAATAATTGGGTAAATAGGGGTGGTCATGACCAGTAGTAAGCGGTTTTTGTTAGTTAGTTAGTGGAGAATAGTTGTTGCAACAGATCGGATAGGATACCCTCGAGCGCTTTTGGGTCTATGTTATTTATATTGTTTATGTGTTGCTGTGTTACTTGTGGAATATTTTGGTCAGGATTATATGTCAATTGTGGAATATTTTGGTAATGCGCCCGCGGTTGTGTTAATTTATTGGGTCTTGCTAGGCTAGCCAGTTGTTTCAATGTGGGAGGGTTATATACAGGGTTGATTAATTGAGCACTTGGTTGCTACTTTACTGTAGGCTGTTTACCTTTGGCAGTCCGTTTAGTCCCTTGATTTGTCAATAAATGGGGAAAAAGATAATGATACTGTTCAATTAATTCAATAATCTGATTCCTCTTCATGCGCGTAACAGCAAACTTATCGGCTTTCATTTTGATGATTTCTTTCTTGAGCTCTTTGAGAGTGAATATTTTCAGATTATTACTTTCTGGAGTTCATTATAGTTGTCTTATAATTGGTTAGTATTCATATATTAATTAATTACATAATCTGTGGATGACCCTCTAATGGGTTTTTAGTGTGTCCTTATTAAGGAATTGTTTGATACAATATTTACACGGCACTCTGATACCTTTCTTATAATTATGGATATTCATGCAGATTCTATCATAATCATTACTTAGGATAAATGCATAACCATTATTAACGTACTTCTTCTTCATCTCCTTTTGGGCTTCTGATACATGATAATTATTAGTTGGTGATTTGAATTCAATACAGAGGCCCTTATAGTCTTTGTGATAATCGATTATCATCAAATCAGGCTGTCCGCGGGTACATCCTTTTTTGTATGAATCGGGGCGTTTGTCATCAGTATCCTGATTTTCACCTAGACCGGCTTCTAATATGGAATCTGGATAATACTTTCTTACGAGGTCCACTACTTTATAATGGAGGTCAGTCTCATTGCCAATCATAATCATCTTATTCCAGGGACTATCAAACAGTTTGTATTGGCCGTATTTACGGATGGAGGGGAGGACTTGTGAAGTAACCCAATGTTTGAACTTTTTCGCAGCTTCTAATTTTGAGGATAATACTAAGGAGTAAAACCCAGACTCATTAATGAATGAGTAATATTTTCCTCTAGTGTCATTTTGTTGACGCCCCGTTTCAGGGCTGCAACATTGGTTATTGTTGCCGTCCACAAAACGGGGACGCCAACAAATTAGCTGTTTGTCAACACTATCAACATGTTTCGATAATGCATCTCTTGTTTTGCCATAATCGAGGATCCCAGCAATTTCTTTTCCTCGGAACCAAACATTTTGCTTACTATCAAGAAATGAAGTCAGTTCGATATTCATCTCTTCATTGGTATACTTTTTTTCAATCATACTTGTCATATATATGGGTTAAATAATTTTCTATCATACAGGCCAAAAATGTGACAAGTATGATAGATTAAAAAGTATGCTAGGCCTGAGGTGCCGTTATCAGCACATTGGACCCTGACAACCACCCGTCGTGCAGACGCCCCCTTTATATTTGTCCTCATCATACACATTCTTTCTTATTGCCTAGGTCGTGTCACAATATCCTTACTCTTTCTCCTCCTCCTCCCTTTCAAAGATCGCACCTACGACGCCGGTTAATGACATTTCTACTGTTTCCAGTTTTTTGAAGATTAATTTCTTGTCGTGTAATGTCGCAATTTCTTCCTCCAATTTTTGGATTTAAGTGTAAAGTGCATTAAGCTCGGTTTCCTTACTCTTGATTTTAGTATCAAGCTTTCTTATATGATCCTCCATATATACTATTAGTTAGATAATTCTTGCAGGCTACACAGTGGAATCCAGCTATTAAAGGCATCACTATAACCCAACCATTTCACTAGAGCTCGTTTCTTCTTATTATCCCTCCGAATGAACTTTTAATGCGAAATACGTCCTGTTTTGCCGGCAGTAATTCTGGTTCATAAAAGCTGCCTTGTATTTCCTCATTATTGAGATCGTTTAATCTGTAAGTAATTGGGTTTGTGGATTGGATTTTATCGATCGGGAATATCTCCTCTGTCCAATTAGGTGTGTACCCTTTATCAAACACCTTTCTCTTGTACTTACTTATCCTAACTTTATCACCAATCTTGAATTTGGGCTTAGATGACAACTGCTTCATATCACCATACAGATTGTAATACACGGTACTTTCATTCTTCTTCTTACTAGTTTCTACAGGTGTCATTTTAATGGAACTGTGTTTGGTGTTACTATACTGCTCCAATATTTTTGGTAGTATGTCTAAATATATGGTATTACCCTGGACAGTAAACTGCTTCCACATTTTGGTTTTAATTGTACGGTTCCATCTTTCACACACACTAGATTTTTCCTCATTCTCGGTTGAGTATAGTGTTATGCCATTCTTTTCTAACAGTTCTTTCATATTTTTGTTATAATATTGTTTCCCCTTATCAGTCCAAAGATATTGTGGTTTACGGCCCTCTTTGAAGATGGTTTTGAATGCTTCTGTGACAGTTTCTCCCTTCTTGTCCTTGGACAATCCAGCCATATTTGGAGAATAATACCATGAGAAGGCAACTGTAACCTTTGTCCCATTTGCTGAACTGTGGCATTTCAACCAGATCTGAGCACCAAATTTTGTCAATACCGGTTGCAATAACGCGCCGCCGAGTAAAGTTGCGTTTTATGGGTTTATGTAATTCATCTGCTAATTGTTGCTGCCAACTGCTACCCGACGGCTGTTCTAGTTTAAACCAAGACCGAGTTTCTGTTTTGTGTTTATAATATTTCTAGCCAACCAGTGTCCCCATTGTCTTTCATTATAGGGAATAGCGTCTAATGATTTCACCATTTTACGGTCAGCTTTATTTTTGCACTTGCGGTTATCACCGCAAACTCTATTATCAACATCATGTTGCATGGCCACAACATCGGTTGGCCCAGTTGGTTGATCATAAATTTCTAATATTTCACCAGTTCTTGGATTGTATCTTACTTGGTTTTCAAGATCATTATAAGGGCCTGTGTATTTATGGCCTGGTAATGTCCATCCAGCTTTTGGTTTTGGTAATTTGCCAATGGCCTTGTGGATGTCCAAAGCGCCTCCATCAAGATCTTTCCTGTTTGTTTTCTAGTTTTTCTTTGGTCGTATTTTCGTTGATAATTGGACAAGAGCTTGAGATCCAACATGGTGTATTACTGGATTCAATTTATCCAGAGCATAGTCGATAGCCTTTTTCTGTAACTTTTTATTGCGTAATGCTTCTGACCCGTAATATCTCCCCATCTCAACTGCCGTTTTACCCATCCATGGAAGCCCGTGATGTACAAACGCATCAAGAGCAGTACCAGCCACTGTGTCCATTACGCCTGCCCCAAGGACAGGCTGATCTAGTTTCCCTTCTTTACAAATTTGAACTTTTTTGTTCGGCATTCGGCACAAGTGCACCAAAACATAAGTCTACCATTTTTGGCTGTTTTATAACCCGAAGGTTCTACACATTCGGTTTGTTTCTTCTGTTTAACACAATAAGATTTCACCATTAGTATATATTTATGTTATATAATTATTGTCTAATCACTATCACTACCGTCTAGAACGTAAGTATCATGGCTGCTATCTGACTCATAATCACTCTCACTCAGGGGCTCACAGTTGCAGCACTCGAAACATCCATATTGATTCACAAAATGCGGAGTAACTTCTTGGCAATAAACACAGAGCTTTTCAGTCATATATAATAGGATTACATAAAATAGTTTATCAGAAATTGGTGATTTATCAGTTGATTAGTGGAACTGAATTTGGGGTTGTAAATAACGTCTAATAATGTTCTACCCTTTTGTCTCTCCAGGAGGTAGTATAAGCACTAGTAACCGCACAACACACTTCCCTCTCTTGTATTTCATCTGATGAGTACACCATTTTTTTACCACTTGTTTTCAGACAATTTTTGATTTCATTGGGCATGATTAATCCAAACGTGTCTATAACAGACCCAACGACTGCCCCCGCCCATTGAATGAGATAGATAGATAGATAGATAGACAGACAGACAGACAGACAGACAGACAGATAGATAGATAGATAGATAGATAGATAGATAGATAGATAGATAGATAGATAGATAGATAGATAGATAGATAGATAGATAGA